TGGGGCTCAGGCTCTACCGTTCATGCGAGGGGTCTCCAAGTGGAGGAGTGGCTGCCTTATCCTCCATTTGCATACATGTAAATAAGCAATCAACATAATGAGGGCGAATGCAAACCAAGCTCTCAGTTTGCAACTAAGTCCTATTTTTAACCTTGGAAAAGGGTTTCGGCAGGGAGCTGCAGGCCCGGCTGCGGTACCTGTCGCCACGTCCGGCTGTGTGGGTGCTCGCACCGATCCCTCGCCCCAAAGTGTTGCTGACCCCACGGCCACCAGTGGGTCAGTACTCACCGCCCTCTGCTCCTGTTACCTGAGGAAACAGAAATCCCACATCTTTGCAGAAATCCGGACATCACGCCCCAGCTCACGGGAGCCTTTTTGGGCAGCTCTCACTGAGCCTCCTGGTCCCGCTTCGAGCAGGGGTGCGTGCCCGGGGAACCCCCCCGGCGCCCTGGGAGTGCTTAAACATGAGGGGTATATTTAGACGGCGTCAATTTAAGTTTGCACATCAACCTTATAAATATGAAAGCCCATCTTGGGGAGATGTTCAAGATACTTCATCAGCCCTTGGAAAATATGCAGGAATATTAATTAGCCAGATTTGGGTATTATCTCGTAATGAATAAATGAAGAGACTCGCTGCCTAAGATGAATCACTAGCGGCTCATTTTTTGGTGTTGTTTTTTTTTTTAGGAAAAGTGTGTTTCTAAGGTAATTCGCTCCTTATAACCCAAGGCCCTTGGAGGCGCTGAGGGGATGCAGCCGTGCCGGGGACAAGCAGTGTGGGACACCTCGGGTGCCTCTTACACAGATGGCTGGTGTTGTAGGCCCCCCCCATTCATCCCCAGCTGGCTGCAGTACCTCTGGGGACAGAGGGACAGGGACAGGGTTGGACCCAGCTGGGGCAGCCCCAAGGCCCAGGATGGAAGCCGAAAGTGCAGCCTTAGTTCTTAAAAACTTATTTTTGACTTCTTTCCCTCCCGCCCTCCATCCTCCCCTCCCACCCTCCTGCTCTGCTCCCCCACTGCTTCGCTCCCTCCAGCCGGGCCAGGACGGGAACTTCCCGGTTGCTGTAGAAACCCAGATGAAGGACACGCTTCAAACGAAAATGCCAAACATGAAATGGCTTTGTGTGTGCCCGGACAGTGCTTTGCCATGCCGGGATATGGTGACATTGGGGTCCTTCTTTTGGGGCACCTGCGTGGCTGGGGGGGCTGCGGGGCCGG